TCAGAAGACTCAGGGTCTCAGTTTAAAGACCAAAACTAGTGAATTTCAACCGTCAGTGATCACTTCCCCAATTCCCCTCAATGATAAGGGAAAAGGAGTTTCTGGGAAGACTGGCAGTGGCCCAGCAAGTCTTTGCAAGGAAATCCTGTGATTTTTAGGGAAAGTCATTTTTGGAATCTTAGTACTTACGGCAGGATGAATACTTAGCAAGAGTGGAGTTAAATTTTACTTTGATATATTTTGGACTGGAAACAAAAAACAACATCACATTGACAACAGATACCTCAGAGAATTTAGAGAAGACCACAACATTTTTCTGGTATACATTTATGTGGGGTATCAGCTACCCAGGAGGATAAACAAGGGAAACTGACAACATAATAGATAGAAACTAGGAGAACTAAAATGATTGCCTGGACGCAGCATCTAAATGGATGTAGTGAGTTCACCATCAAATAGGCCAATCCTAGTATCCCAAAGAGTTTGATCTAGTGGGATTGAGAAGAATCAACTATACAGTGTAAAATAAAAAGACATTATCTGACCAATGAGATGCCTTTATTTTTTAACAAGAATGATTCCATATTCCATCCTGTTGACCTTGCCTTGGCTATTATGAATCTTAGCAATAAATCTCATGAACAAAACCAATAACCATATTAAATGTGGGTTGTTCTTCTCCATTTTCCATTATAACAGTAATTCCCAAAACTGTCTATGTATGAAAATTACTGGGAGAATATTTTAAAATATAAATTCCTTAGGACTAGCCTCTGATATTGAACCAGACTTTCTAGCAATAAAGATCATAAAGGTAGATAATTAGTACGTAGATACACAGACACATAGATAGTAGAATTAAAGTCCTTAAGTGTTTCTTAAGCCAAGCATTTGTTTACAAGTGAGAGTTTGGGACCTGGTCAACTTTGTCTTCTTCATATATGATTCCCATTTTATTAGTTCTATTGAAATAAAATCAGATGTAGACTGCCTGGAATTCTTTGTCAAAATGAAGGCTGAAAAGGAGGCTAGAAGAAGACAGAAAAAATGTAAGCGAGAGAGCAAGTGATCTAGAGACACAAGATCTAAGAACTGATCTTGGAATAGAAAATACTTTTCTCCAGTTCCATCCATGCTCTCGCTTACGGGTGGAAATTAAATAATTTGTAGATATGGACATGGAGAATGAAATAATAGACAATGAAGACTCAGAAAGGTGGGAAGGGGTTAAGGGATGAGAAAGTACCTAATAGGTACAAAGTATACTGTTCAGATGATAGTTATGCTAACAGCCCAGACTAAAGCATCATGTAATATATTCATGTAACAACACTGCACTTTCACTGTCTAAATCTATAGAAATTAAAATAAATTTTCTAACCTTGAAGAGAGTCTTTGTTACCCATCTTTAAAAAAATGAAGTCAGAGTAGAAACAACATGAAGTTGTCTTTTTTTTAACAGATTTTTTTTACTCTATTTTTATATAGTGTCTCCCAGGGAATCCCATAAATAGAAAGAGTGCTTATTCCTTTCTGAGGAGGTGAAGAGACCTTCCAGAAAGTGTCTAAAGGGAAAGACAAGGAGAGTCCCAGGAAGAAGGGTCATGCACTAGCATCTCATGGCTGAGCCCTACAAAGACAGAGGGGCAAGGTCCTGGGATGGCTGTGGATAGAGTCAAGCTAGGTTATTTCAGGTCAGTCCTGCCTTGCTTGGCCCATGGGAAATGGAGTGTTGTTAGTATGAGTCAAAAGCTCAAATTGGTAACTGGCCGGTTTTGATTTAATTACATAGTGAGATAGTTTCCTGGGAGCATACAACACAATCCTTTCTCCTAAACGTGAGTTTAATTTTCAACAAAACACTTCTCTCATAAACATCACGTCGTTTCCAAACTCTTATTGCCATTCCCAGAACTGCTTGCAGCCTTTCAGAAACCCATTATTTTATAATTATAATCAAGACTATTAGGACAGGACAATTTGTGCCAAAAAGTGCATTTACACTCAGAATTGTCACTTAGCACTGTCACAGGAGGGATCATCTTTATTTCTGTAGAAATCAAGGAGAGTTGCAGACTCTGCCTTTTAAACTTTTAATTTCTAGATGGCATGGGAGTTACTGACCTTGTCTAAATTATTCTCCATTCACTCCACTAACCATCCCTGGCAGAGTAGCCCAGGACATCACAGCAAGAAATTATGTTATGGAAAGAATGCAGCCCCAAGAATCAGGCCAACCCCAGTTCATATCCTGATTCTGCTCCTTCCAATTGAACAAGTCAGTCCTTTCATCTCAGTTTCTTCATCTGTGGAATGGCAAAGCTACAAATACCTGCATCAGAAGGTCATTTTAACAATTAAATGATGTAAACTAAAATGGTACCAGGCATGCACTAAAGACTTCAACTTAAAAAAAAATACAGAAGGCGTGGCAAATGTTATCGTGATTAATATAAGCTGTGTGACCTACGGCAAGTTACTCGTCCTCTCTGGGCATCTCTTTTCTCATTTCTAAAATGAGAAGAGTAGCCTTTAACTCACGAGGTAGCAGTAACAATCAGAAGATCATGCATGGTGCTCAATATCGTTGGTTCCTTTTGATCAACCATTTACTCCACAGATTTTACTTTGAGTTGAAAAGTTCGGTGATCTCCATAGGGGCAGCCAGAGTGTGTGATCTTATTCCAACCATCTGGGGAAAGTCCTAAGCTTTTGGAACTTCTCCCATAACCTCTGTGTTTAATCACAAGTCTGTGATGCCCATCAGGAAGTCAGACCAACTATAGACATGATAGAGCAAGCCTAGGCATGTTATTCAAAGAAAGGCCATCATCTAGTGGGCCTGATTTGTTCACTGTTAAAAAATCTTTAATCACATAGCTCTTTGATTTATTTTTCCTGGCTCTTACAGCTGTAATATAAATAAAAACAAGTAATAACAATAATACTTCTCTTTGTTTAATATCAGTCAAAATTATAATGGTGAGATAGGAAGTTTTATGCATTTTGTGAGAGTAGGGTACTCTTGGCATAGAACAGTATTTAGAAGCCCTGCCTCTGCAGGGAAGTGGACTTAGAACCTAATCTCAGTGCTGCCACCAATGAACAGGTGACAGTGGACACATGATAGAATGGCTCCCAGACTCAAACTCCTCATTTGTAAATTGGAAATACTTTAGTATCTTTCTAATTCATTGATGTGACAAACTAAATGAGATAGCACAAATAAAGCCCCTGCGTAAAACAATCGATCAATTAAATGTAACTACTGTAACTATCAACGTTATCATTTCAACCAAGTGAGGTCTGCCAACAAGGTATTATTACCTCCATTTCGTGTATGAAGACCTGAGCCTCAAAGCATTTCAGTGACTTTCCCACAATCACACAAGTAAATGGAGACACTGGCTTAGACTTCGGTTTTCACTCTTCCAGGGAGTTCATTGTCACATACTGTGTGAGTTCATATAAGCCTCTCCAGGAGCCTGCTGATGCTTTCTAAAAAGTTTATAGAGTCCGGAAGAAGACTGGGGTCTGACAATCCCATGAGTCGAGACCAAATCAGAAAGAAATGCTTAATTTTACTTACAGTCACTTCTGTGGTTCCACAGGCTGGAAAAGCAGCAATTACTTTAGTGCTGTTACTGAGAAGACCTCCCAGTGCTTTTCCTAGTGCCCTCTTTATAAAGTCTTAGAGGAGTACTCACCCATAAGGACAGTGTCCCTGTATTGAACATAATACATGATTTTCAATCCTTAGAGAAACATTACAAAGTCATATTTCTATTCTCATTTTACGTTTGAGCTAAGTAGACTCAGAGAAGTGGAGCCAAGGCACACAGTTGATAAGTAGTGAATCTGAGTTTTGACTTTCTCCAAAAGCCACACTACGCAAAACACCAGAAAAGTGGAAAGCACTGTGTTAATGCTCATTCTCGGTGTCTTTCTCTCCTCTTTTTGTTCTATGTCCAGATTTTCTACTTATTATTGATTCACCCTATTGTTCACGTATCCCTTGTTTGAAGCTCCTTCGAGTCCTTTATGGAAAGATAGGGTTATAAATGAATCATTTGGTGTGTATAACATATATGCATATGTATTGGCTTAATGATTCATGGCTTCAGTTGAGAAACCCTTGACTAGTGTCAACCACACAGAAAACTGCAGGAGTTTCACTTCCTGTTTTGCCAACTTTAAGCATGAAGCAATTGGGTGTGGAAGAAAGAAAGTGTCCTTGAGTGACCTGGAGGCCCAGGCTCAGGTTTTGTCACTTTCCTACTCTGTGGCCTATTGACAAATTTACTTCATTGAACTTCAGCTTTGCCATCAATAAAATGGAAAAAGTAATTATTGATTTGCTACCTCACTCAGCTAATGAGATATTCAAATATGGTTATAGTTTTGTGAATATGTTTCAAGTTGTAAGAGATCACACAAATTTAAGGCATTATAATTGGCATTAATTTTTGCTTATTCCACCCTTCATCCCTCTTAAATCCAGAGGATTTAAAGAGCTACAAAGAGGCTGTCTGAGGCCTGACTTTACTCTTTCTTCTCCTTCTGTTCTATGCATATAATTTCTTTCCCTTCTTGTCCACCTCACCTGCCATTTCTAGAATTTCCATCTGGGAGAGGGAACTGACAGGAAGAAGGCCAATGTCAGCTTTGGATATTTCAGCCCTGAAATACTCCAAGTTGTATGTTGATCTTCCTTCTCAGAGCTTTGTACATTTGCTTGAATAAACACATTTATGCAGAATTCGTATTCAAATACAAATAGAACCACACTTACATGTAGCATGGATATACACAAAATCACACATTTTCAAGCATACTAAGAAATTGATGCATACATCTATAGACAAACAATCATGTATGTATGTTAGTTCCTCACTTATCCACAGTTTCACTTTCCCAGGTTTTGCGGTCAGTTATCGTCTGAAAATAGGTGAGTACAGTACAGTAAGATATTTTGAGAGAGACAGCGAGAAAGAAAGAGATCACATTCACATAACTTTTATTACAATATATTATTGTAACTATTCAATTTTATTATTAGTTGTTGTTAATCTCTTACTGTGCCTAATTCAGAAAATGAACTTTATCTTAGCTATTTATGTATAGGAAAACATATTACATATATGAGGTTTGGTACCATCTGGGGTCTCAGAGACCCACTTGGGGTCTAATAACATATCCACCAAGCATATGAGATAAGGGGAGACTGCTGTACAAGCACAAGAGTAGAGAACCCATCTCAAACAGCCATAGACATCCACTTCAAATGGATGTATTCTTCAAGAAATAGAATCACACTCTCTACTATACAGATATGATCATGGAGACACACACTTTCGAATACATACAGCCCTGATGAGGATACACAGGGAGATGTGCACAAATGCACACATCTACTTTCACTAGTACATGAGACATAGAAACACACCCAGGGATGCTCAATCACCCTAGACCTGCTCAAACCAAACACACTCCGAAACACTCAGTAACAAACACTTCTGAGTGTGGTCATATTTCCAGTTTTGACAACTGAATTTTGTTGTCTTTTCTTTTTTATAACTTCATTCAGATATAATTGATATTATAAAACTGCATATATTTAATATATATAATTTGATGAGTTTAGACATAGTTTCACATACCTGTGAAACCATCACCACAATCAAGGTAATAAATATATCCATCACCTCCAAAAGCTTCTTTGTGTATATATATATGGTAAGAACACTTAACATGAGATCTAACCTCTTAACAAAATGTTAAGTGCATAATACACTATTGTTAATTATAGGAACTCTGCTGTACAGCTGATCTTTAGGGCTAATTCATCTTGCATACTATAATTTTATACCAATTAGACAACTCCCTATTTCTTCATTTCTCCCTTCCTCCTTTTCCCTAGGAACCACTGTCCTATTCTCGCTTCTATGAGTTTGACTATTTTAGAACCTCATATAAGTGAAATCAGGCAGTGTTTGTCTTTCTGTTACTTGCTTATTTTACATAGCATAATGGCCTCCAGTTTTATTCATGTTGTCATAAATCGTAGGATTCCCCCTTTTTTAGGCTGAATAATATCCCATTGTATATGTATGCACATTTTCTTTGTCCATTTATTTTTCAATGGAAATTTGGGTTGTTTCCATAACTTTGGAAACAGTGATTGTGAACAGTGCTGCAATGAACATGGGAGTGTAAATATTTTCTTGAAATTCTGATTTCAATTATTTTGGGTATATATACAGAAGTGAGATTGCTGGATCATATAGTAGTTCTATTTTTAATTTTTGAGAAAACTCCATACTGTTTTTCACAATGGCTACATCATTTTCCACTCCCACCAGCAGTGTAGAAGGGTTCCAATTTCTCTATATCCTTGATGATACTTCATTTTTTTTTTATAGTAGCCACTCTACCTGGTATAAGGTGATATCGCATTGTGGTTTTTATTTTCATTTCCCTGATGACATCCTCATTGTCCTTTTCTTGAATGTTCTGTTTCTGGGGAAGCTGGATGAACATTGCTTTCTGGGAACCTTCTTTATATGAATCCCATTAATTCCAGACACATTGTTTTCTCAGTGATAACATCCACTCTTTCCAAAATGTAGTCAGGGAGCATTGCCCAACAGGAAACAGCAATGTATACTTCCTGCCTTGAATCCCTTCACAAGCAGTTCTCCTGGCAGTGAAGAGGGTACACAGGAGGGATCCCAGCCCTCTATGTCTCTCTGCAGAGATTCAGAGATCCATCAAACATCACTTGTTCTGAAAAAACAAAATAGACTTCTGCTGCAACTCATTTCATGAGGTCACCCCAGGTTTATCAGTCCGTGTTTCTGGAATCAAGAAAAAGTGACCTCCTGAGGTCATCCCACTTCCTTCCTGCCTCTAACCCAAATTGTCCATGATAAAAACAGGAAGCAGAAAATTTCTTCCCCTGTTAAAAAAAGTGCCCCCTTTAAACAAATTATTTCAATGCTGCTTTCAGACTGTCATAACTTAGTAGGCAATAACTTTGCAATGACATCGAGTGACAAAGTGACAGAAGGTACTTTACATACTTCCTTGAAAAATAGTGGTTAAATAAATGTGGATATTTGAAGCAGGTCTCAAACAACCTTATTTATGATATTGGCTTATAGGCAAGACATAAAAAAATGAAAACTTGATATATAAAAATAAAAATTTATCAGGGGTGATTAGTGAAAAAACAGAACATGCTCGAGAAAGACCAGGATGGTTGTGGGCATGTGTTAATCAGGTTTCCTTAGGAATTAGCCACTAGACCTTAACCTCTGTAAGGAGACTGACTTAAAATTGAAGGGGCATCTTGCATCAGGAGCCCACTGAAGTCATCAAGTAGAATTTAAATTGTATTCAATCAAAAAGGAAAAAGTGAACACTCAGTTCAGTCAAAACTACCAAAATGGTTTTATGATGGCTATAACATAATACATAATATAATTTCCATTCAAAAGACTCAGGAGAAGAACAATGTCTCTTTCTGCTTTCTCTGTCTTTATTCAACGTGATGAGGTAAGAGTTGAAATGACTTTCTCTGTCATAGGTTTCTTGGCTGAGTGGGTTGAAACGCCCACCTGGAAGGCTCTGTATTTTAATCTAGCATGTATTCCCTCTGCACTGGAAGCTCCTTGAGATTAGCAACCCCGCATATCTTGTGCACCATGGAATGACTTGCCCTTAGCATAAGGCCTGGCATGTGCCAGCATTTAATACTTATTAACTGAGCGAGTGTTGGGCCCAGCTGGGCAAGAAATGCCTCAGGAGTTTTTTATTTTTCCTCTTCAGATAGTTGTTGCTTCTTGCTAATTGCATCCTGTACCCACTGTTCTTCTGGATTCCACGATCTGCCATCCAGCAGGGCTTTTCTGAGTCGTCTCCAGAAGATGTGCTGCCCCAGGACACTGTCTTCCCACTCCAGGTAAGTGTTCCTGCTGAGAAGGCGGTACAGCTCCACCTGCTGCCTGAGCAGGGTCTTCTCCACCTTCTGCAGGACAATGAAGATTATGCCTGCACGACTGCTCAGAAACTGCCAGGTCTGAGCAATCTCATATTCAAAGATACACCAGCGGCTCTGGATGAAGTGCTGGGACACCACAACAATCACCTTTCGGCTTTTATGGAAACCTTCATGGATGATGTTTGCAGCAATGGCCACACCGGGAATAAAGTCTCTGTAGTGAAGGCAGAGCTGAAAGGGAGGCACCCCTTCTTCTAAATTCTTTACTAGCTCATTCCTTACCCAGTCCTCATCCTGGCTTGAGTAGATAACAAAGGCATCATAGATGTTTTCACCTCTACCATACTTTATGCAGCCAGCAAGAAGCATCAGGTGAAAATAGAACTTATAGACCAGAACTGCTACAACAGATACCACAAGCACACTGAACACAGACACACCAATGATGGTCTTATTCATCTGACAGGTAATATTCAAACTCAGCACCGGCATGCCCTGTTTATCTGAAGGTGTTGCACATTCCATTCGTTCAGCTTCCACCAAGAGCTGCCTCTGCTCCTTGATCCACTGCAGGAAACTCTGGTGTTCACAAGTACAAGCAAAGTCATTCTGAGTAAGATTTAAGAAAGCTAGACTACTTGGAAAACGCTGAGGTTCCTGGTTTTTGGAAGTCATTATGTGATTGAGACTGTAATCGAGAACCTGGAGGGAGGGCAGAGACTTATAAGGAAACATATCCAATGAAAAGAAGTTGTTGTGGCTCATATTTAGTACCTGAAGCTTGTTGAGTGTGTCAAATGCTGTTGGAGACAAATGCTTCAGTTGACACTGAGAGAGGTCCAGGAAGGTCAAGTTTTTCAGATCTGTGAAGATATCTGGAAGGAAGTTTTCCTGGAAAGAATTGCCAGCCATTTTTAAGACTTTGAGACTGAGCAAGCCATCGAAGATGCCATTGAAAGCAACTGTGGTGTGAGTATGAGAAATGTCAAGGTAAATGAGGTTTCTGAGTGATAGGAATACTGAAAATTGACTCATCTGTTTCAAATTGGAATGCTGGAAATCCAGATGTTCTAGTTGTTCTAAGCCCAAGAAGTTTGAACCCATGGTAATAACATCATTGAAGCTCAGATCTAAATACTTTAGGCTGGTTGTCCCAAAATCACTTTGAGAACAGCAACCTTTGAAACTCAAGCCATTTCTACTGAGATCTAGAAACTCAAGGCTTGGTAGATCAACTTCTGAAAAAGCATTCCCACCTTTGTTGGCAGTGAAAGTAAGCCTTTTGAGAGATTCGAGTTCCAATGTGGGAAACTGTTCAAATTTACAGTTAACTAATTCTAAATGTTGCCATCTGAAATTATAAGAAAAGTCTTCTACCCCTTTAATATTCACACTCACCAGGGAAAATGAAGAAACATTTGTCAAACAATTAAATAAGTCAATAATATTATTGAGGTAGTAGTCTAAGTATGTTAATCGGAATTCTTCAATGGTCAAATTGCACAATCCCTCCAGAGCAGATTTGTCAAACTCTTCCAAGTTTCTTTCATTTCTAAATTCTCCCAGAACCAAACGATGGACTTCTAAACCAGCCAGACCTTGAATACAAGTTTTCATTACATTTAAATCATCAAAATTACTTCTCAAAGTCAGCTTACGAAGCCTAATTTCTTTAAATGCACCTGGTTGGATAAAGTTTATAGGGTTCAGGGACAGGTCTAAAGAGAGATTGGGTAGGGGCATTTGATGTAGAACCTGCACGTCTTTGCAATAAATATTTTGAATCTTGTTACTGGAAAGATCCAAGTGCTCTAGATTGGTCAGATTAGAAAAATACTCAGGTAATTTGAAAGACTGGATAAGATTGTGAGCCACATTAAGTTCTTTCAAAGTTTTGAGATGTCCAATGGGGAAGTTCTCTAGAGATGCTAGATTTGTCTCCACAGCCACCAGCTTCTGTAAACTTGATAGTCCAGAAAAGGCTCCCAGGGCTAAACTCTGGATGGGGTTTCCTGTCAATATTAAGGTGGAGAGGTGGCTTAGGCTCTGATATGCCCCATCTTCAATTGTCTGGATTTCACACCTACAGGAATAAAAATACATTGATTATATAACATTTCTGCTGAATAAGAACCTAAAATAGAATATTAATCCTAGTCATCCAGTTCTTCATACGGGATGTGATGGGTCAAAGACATCAAGCAGGACAGATGATGATGGCATGAGCAAATAAGAAGCCCCACAGATTGAGTATTGTCATACTGGCTGCAATGATAGGCTCTTTTTTGTCATGTTAGGCATACATGATAAGCAGAGGAGAAAATCCATAAGAAGGAAATCAGTTAAACGTCAATAATTGACATATATAAAGATTGTGCAGTTGATAAAGCATGTAATAGCCTTGGATCAAGTTTAGCCATTTTCTGTCACACAAAATTGTGATTATACATCTGATTGGTACAGATAATATGGATAGTTGTTAGTTGTTAGCCAAGATAAATGACTAGTAAATATCAATTTCAGAGATAAGAAAAATTACACATAAGTGTCACGGATACTCTTAATGTTTATGAAAAGTGCATACATGATAGCTCGACACTTGAAAGTTGTTGTTATCAGAGGTAAATGTTTGTAACCTGTGATAGGAGCGAGTTTTGTGAAAAAAAGTGAAAATCATGTGCTATAAAGAGTTCACATCCAGAGAACTGTTGTGGACCAAGAGAATCAAAGTAGGCTTCTCTGAGAACACTTAAGTTGAAAATTGAAAGATGAGTAGAAGTTAATGATAAAAGGAGGTGAAGTGAACAGCAAACACAAAAGCCCCAAGGTTGACAGCAAAAAATGACACACAGAGTAATCATGACAAATAGCTTCCATGGTTGGAGTACAGAGATGAAATTGGAGTGTACAATATGGAGTTGTGGAGAAAGAAGATTTCCAATTAGGCAGAGGTTTACCACCCAGCTGAAGGGTTTTGAATTGTATCCCAAGAGAAATGAAAGCCATCCTACATACAATGTTCAGAGACATGTCCTAGAGATAGGGCCTTGATGCAGCCAGCAAACAGCAAGCCATCACGATAAATGATAAATTCCTTTGTCATTGCAGGTGCTTGTCAATTACAACGTACAAATAAGTTCTTTCTTAATCCAGTCTGAATTACATTTACAATATTCCCCACCCATTTTAGCTTCTTCAGGAGTTTCCTAGATAATAAAAGCATTGTGGTCCAAGCTTTTGTTATTTATTGGTAACTAGATAAAGGATAAGCAGTATACTAGAAAGAACACTGGAAGAGTGGACAAAAGAGCTTGGGTTTGGTGCTTCTGCAGTGCTCTCCTACTGGGTGATCTTGAATACCTCTTTTCCTCTCTAGGTTTTAGTTATCACATTTATAAATCAAACAGCTGAACTTGATTATTTTTGCAGTTCTCTCTTTCAATTATATGATTTTTACAGCCCGTCATTCTATCTCTGCATTGCTGTATACATCAGGCAAGAATTAAAGGGTCTTGCTATATCTCTATATCATTACATTGGTGATAGTCACTTTAGAGAAGTAGAGTATTAAGACAAAGAGAACAATTAAGTTGGATTCTGGAGATGTGAACTTAAATCTTTGGTCTGTGGCTAACAAGCAATGATAATGTATATAAGTCATTTAAATTATTCATGCTTCAGTTTCTTCATCTATAAAAAGAAACATACATATATATTATAGATTTCTATGGGGGAAGAAGGCTGCCTGATCTATCACAAAGCATTCTTACAAGACTAGTTGAGTTATTGTATGTGAACACTGTATGAAAAGGCAAAGGATGTCTATTGTGCTATTATTTGTGCTTGCCCTAATTCAGAATCTCCTATGGGCTAGCTAGAAGGGAAGCTAGCCTCTCTATAAGCACAGATTTAAGGTTTCTGGGGTAAGTTTCTTGGGTATCTAGTGGATTGAAGATGAATTACATAACAGACATTGTTTGGTGAAAAACTACTTGTTTGAAAAAAAAAGGGAGGGGGGGAGAGGTGATCTACCTTAATAGAGTATGTGACAAAATTTTCATGCAGAAAACTGAAATTTAGAACATAATGGCATAGATTCAGCTGATAGCCATTATCCTAAGCAAATAAACAAAGGAATAGAAGGCCAAATACCATGGGCTCTCGCTTTATAAGTAGGAGCTAAACATGGGGTACACATGGACATAAAGATGACAAAAATAGACCCTGGGGATTACTAGAGAGGGGATAGAAAGAAAGCAGCAAGGGTTGAAAAACTAACTACTGGGTACTATGCTCAGTACCTGAGCAATGGTATCAACTGTACCCTACACCTCAGTATCACACAATATAACCATGTAAACCCCTGAATAAAAATAAAAGTTGAAATTACTTAAAAAAACGAATGAAATTCTGTAAGAATAATACTTTATGCTTACAAAATATACTTTATAAAAATTTAAATATATACAGCATATTAATATTTATTATCACATTTAATCCAGCAGGATAAGTTGCATCATTTCCATTGATCAGACATGAAAACTAAGACTAAGGGAGATGAAGTAATATGCCTAAGGTTACATGGTTATAAACGTTAGGGGTAAACTTGGCTCCAGTCTTCTGACCCCAACAGGGCTCTATGCACTATACCACTGCCTTTGAATTGTTCCATTACCGCTTTGTTTTATCCTACCTTTATCCAAGTTAGGGTATAATAGGTTGTATGTTCACTCTTTTACAGAAATGTCTGCTCTAAAAAGGATTTTCATATTGTGACCTTAGTCTTTATCAATAATTTCTATAATAAAAAATAAGTAAAATGTTTTGAAATGTTTTACAAACCACTGCAGAGAACATTTCCATTATCTAGTTCGATTTGCAAATAAGGCCCCGATGATGAAAACCCTTTTAGAATTTTGTTCCCTTAAAATATCATGATGACAGTTTCACCTGCCACAACAAACGATATACTTCCCTGCATCAGAAAAGAAAATCTTAGCCACTATTCCCTGCCCACAGCAGATGTTTTCCTTTAATCTTGACATCTTTCTCCTTGGATTACTTGTCTTTTCCTAATTCCCTATCCTCTACCCTACTTTTAATATTCTAGACATTGTTTGAATCTTATGCAGTTTATGAAATCTTTCTTGACTACCCGCCACAGAGAAGTCCCTCTTCTGAAAAATACAATTTGTTACCTTTAGTTTAGATATAGTTTATCACCTATTGTTATATATTGCTATATTTATATCAGCTTCAAGATCCAAAAAATCGTAATTAAAATGTGTTGAAAATATGCTATGTACCCAGGACCATACCCAGGACTTTAAGGTATCAACTCTTTCAAGAAGATATGCCTCCTTAACAACAGGGGCTATGTGTTATATATCAATATATGCCTGTCTTCTTGCAGAGTGTACAACATATAGTAAGTAGTCAATAAATAGCCACTTATGAAAGAATTTAAGCTAATTTTCTCTCCTGTCTTAAAAGAAAACCTAAAAATTAGAATTTCTCTTAGAAGCTGTCTTAGCCAACTGCCTATTTCACAGATGAGAAAATTGAGACCTGAAGAATAGAGGTAGCATGGTCAAGGTTATATAGTTAATAAGACATCTGTTGTATGAATGAATAAGTGAATGCAGATGAGACTCCACCAAGCAAGCTTTCCACTCCAATGATGAAATGATAGGACAATGAACATCTCACCTTGTGCAGTATGTAAAAGTGCATTCATTACCTGGATAAATCCAGCACCTGCAGTTCTGGAAAACGGAGGAAGCTATAGCTGCCTAAATGCCTCAGGGGATTAAAGCTCAGGTCCAGGTTCTTGGTTGAGAAGGGGATGTTGTCGGGGATTTTGTAGAAATTCAGCTCCATGCATTGATAAGTAATGTTAGGAACCACCTGCAATGATTACACACAAAATGAAGTGTCTTTACTGCATAGTCTCCCAACTCCCCTCTCCTAGACCAGAGATGGTGCGGGGGCGGGGAGGCTCTTTTTGTGCAAGCACAAAATTCAGTCGACATTTTTTCATCCATCTGTCCATTCTTCCATCCATCTATCCATCCATCCATCCGCTCAATTCATACTTATAAAATGTCTTAATCTAGATTAGAAAGTAAAGAGCAAATACTATGTGCTCAGCATTCTAACCTCTGTGATAAAATGACAGCATTTAGCAAGAAGCAATGGAATCAAGGGGTGAAGGGCTGAGGCTCCGGAGTCTGAAAGCTCTGGGTTTCATGCCAGCAATTCCGTGTGGTTTAGGGCAAAGTCTTTTAAAACAAAACACAACAAAACAAACAAAAGAAAAACCTCAGTGAGCCTCATTTTACCAGATGTAAAATGTAGGTATTAAAATATCCAATATTGTGCTTGCTGCAGTAGCACATATACTAAACTTGGAAGCATACAAAAAAGATTAGCATGGCCCCTGCACAAGGATCACACACAAATCCATGACACGTTCCATATTTTCATGATCTATGCAGCAAATCACCATGGCACACATTTACCTATGTAACAAACCTGAATGCTCTGCACATGTACCACTGAACTTAAAATAAAAGTTGGAAATACAAAAACTAAATAAAATATCCAGTATCATTCTAAATACCCCACATCATCGGGGAGACTCTCTGGCAGTCAAGATGTCCAGACCTTCCTTAGTCACGGCCCGGATTTTGACAGCTGCATTATTTTTCTTGGCTCATTGACCCCTGTTGTAGAAATAGGGGGAAATCTTTAGAGTGCATGGATTCCCATGGTGGAACCTAGTAAATAAGGTCAAGTGCTTTATGCTGTCTTCGTTCTTACGCTGCTTTCTAGCCTACTTTCCCACATTTTTTGTAAGCCTAATTCTCTAACGCTCCCATCTAATTTCCGAACGCTCTCATTTTCTCTGACAAAATTCCTTGCAGAAGCCAGCTAATTGTAGTTTTCTGTTGTTTGAAACCAGGAGAATCTGTTTGAAGGATTAAATGAGATAAGGTGTTTAAAGAGCTTATTTAAAAGCCCACTGCAGTATAAGTGATCAATAGATGTTAACATTAATTATTATTATCTATTATTAATCCCTTACCATATGCCAGCATAGCTCTTGTTTGTTGTATACTTTCATTTAATCTTCAAATAAGCATTTTAAAGATGAGGAAAATGGAAATTCAAAGAGATGAAGTAATATGGGCAAAGTCAGAGTTCAAACACGCAGATCTTCATTTGTATGTCTGCTTAAATGTTACAAGCCATGGAGCCTCAAAGACAGTACTGCCTAATAGAAACAGAGCCAGGCACTCTTTCTTTGCCCTCTTTTATTCCCTTTCACAGGATGCACCACCATCTAACATTATGTTGTCTATGTGATTGTTGCCATCGGATTGTTCATCTCCTGTACTCCATTGCAAGTTTCAATGGATTTGCCCACTGCTTTGTCTCCGGCACTTAGAATGGTGTCTGGCAAATGGTTGATGCTCAATAAATATTTGCTGAATCAATAACTGATTGAATAACTGATTAAATGAAGGTTTACTTAAGTCCACATTGTAGACATTTTCTGCCAAGCGCTGTGGGCATTACAAAGAAAAATACGATGTGGCTCCAGACTTCAATGGACTCACAGTCTAGAGTAAGAGTTTAGATAGGAGCAAAGCTAATACTGTCTCAAGGGGCCATAAAATAGGCTTAGAAAATTTGTCCTGTGGTTCAGAGAAAGCAGAGATCAAGTCCGTATTCAGGAAAGGCTTCCCAGAAAAGGAAGATTTTAAAGTGGGTCTCGGAAGATGAGTAAGGTTTAGATATGTGGAAAGGGGAAGAAAATCATGTCGTAAGGAGAGGATAACATGAACATGGAAAGAGTGGAAAACAAACTTAGATTAGCTGGTGAGTGGTAGGAGTGGTGAAACCTAAGTAAGAGGGCAAACCAGATCAGGAGGGCCTCAGACTTTGTCCTGCGGCAATTATTTCAATTATTTATCACATATAAATTTAGTGGCTACTGTGTGCTGACCACTGGAAATATAGTGGTCCTTGCCAATTCCGTTACAAAGGAAGAGAGAGAAAATAAACAAACAAAAATATAAAATGTTGTGCTCCGGAAAAAAAAAAATAAAGCAATAAAAGGGAATTTGAGGCAAATAAGTGAGGCTGGAGAGCTCTACATGGGGCAATCAAGGAAGACTGCCCTGAGGAGGGGACATGTAAGCAGAAATCTGGAGTGATTAAACCATGAAAATGACCAGGGCTGCACTGACCAATACGGTAGTCACTTGCCATACACAGTTATTAAACACAAGAAACGTGAATAGTCTAAATTGAGATGCATGGTAAATGTAAAATATATACTAAATTCCAGATTTAGTACCAAACAAGGAATGTAACATATCAGTAATAGGTAAATATATATTAAAATTTTAAACATTATTTTAAATATGCTAAGTGAAATAAAAATATTAAATTCACTTGTTTCTTTTTTTAATGAGGCTACTAAAAACTTTAAAAGTACATATGTGGTTCACATAATATTGCCATTGAATAGCACTGATCTAGCATTCTGGGTAGAAGAAATAGCCAGTGCAAAGGCCCTGTGGTAGAAACCTGTCCTAATGGCAATGGAGAGTTATCAAAAGTTTTTAAGGAGATAATTTGTTAGATCAAAGCTTAAGGAAAAATAATAACAACAAATGCAAATACATAACAAACAAGAACGTGCAGAATGAATTAAAGGAAGAAGACTGGAATCAGGAAAGCAGTCACTGTGTAAGAGTCAACACCAGGGGAAATGAGGGCCTGCCGTACAGTGGCAAGAAGGGGATGGGCAGGTATGGACAGGCTTCAGGGACTTACAGGAAATCGTACATGGGGAAAAGAAGAAGTCAAGGTTGGCTGTGGTTTTATCTCGCAGTGAGCCTAATTAGAAAATCTATCTCCACTAACCTAACAGCAGAGGGATACAGAGAAGAAGACAAGGAGGAGGACTATGGGCGGGGAATTGAGGGAAGGGATGGCTTTGAGATAATGAATTAGTCTTTGCTAAATATTACTTGATTTTCTCCCATATCCTCAACTTCAGGACTGCAGCTGGCTTTGCCTCTCTTGAGTTTCTGACCCTGCCTCACTGTAAATCATTTTCTTAGCTGTTCGGCTCTACTATGGGTTTCTAAAGCAACTGTGAAGTCTGTGCAGGGGAAAAACAAAAAAGATCCACCATGAATAAGATTATCAACCAGCTGATTGGTATTTCACCAAGAAACAAACTGTTGCAATAGCTGATATTATACATATTTCCCTCTAGCTTTTTTCTTCTCTCTCTCTTCTTTCCTTCTTCATTCTCTTATTTTTTTCATCCTCTGGATTAAACTATATGACTGCATACAGAAAGTCTTAGAAAGTTCTTTCTGTAGAGACACACACACAAAAGCCATCTTCTTCCTGAGATTGACAGGAGCAGGGGGACTGCTTGAAGCTGAGTGTAAAGACCACCGGTGGGAAGAAATGACACTGAAGCAGTCTGTTTTTTCTCTGGTGAAGAAGGTATTATAATTCTCTTATAGATGCGAAAGCTAGTCTCAGACAGGTTTGATAATTTTTTCACACAGCCACAAGGTAGCAGAGCAGGGACCTTACGCAGATCTACGTAACCTAATGCACTCAAAATCTCCAAATGGAACAAACCTGTTAGCACTCAAAATCTCCAAATGGAACAAACCCCCATTGGCTGCCTTTAGTGCCCTTTAACAATGAATTACTTGATCTCGAGTCTTTAAGGTAATTTAACTCTTTTTTGCAAAAATAAACCAGGGCACACAGTGAGAAGTTCTGGGCAGAAGTGAGGGAGAGTTCAGAGGTGCTGACTCCAGCCACATACCTCCACGCAGGGCTCCCAGCTTTCTGGTCTCACGCAGGAGAGGAAGGCCATGGCTGGGATCAGAGTCCCAGCCAGGCGCAAGGCAGACGTCATCCTGGCATCATCCTCACTGCTTCTGTGAGCGACAGTGGCCCTGTGAACGCGTGGCTCGCTATCACCGTTTCACCGGGCAGTTTCTGAGGCACTGGTGTCTTCTCTTCCTCAAGCCGGTGCCCCACAGCAATTGGTACATTCAAAGCAGTTCTGGGCTAAAGGGTGAGAGGAAGTGAAAGTTGCAACCTTAGCATTCTGGACTTTTGTTTGTCTAATAGTTATCTCTTTTGTCACAGGAGAGGAAGTTAGAAGGAGAAGAAGAAAACGCCTGCAGACCAGTGGCTAAACAAACAGCAAGAGGAAGCTAGTTGGCTTTTATCCCAGGAAGTCACCTGACCTCTGTCTGGGCTTGGCGAATTTAGGAAAACCATCAGATGCTGTTAAAATAGCCCTTGCAACTCTCTAGGATGATGGTGATTTTCCAGTTTTGTTTCAGCTGTGGAAACACTATTTGTATTAGTTTGCTGGGGCTGCCATAATGAATTACTACAGACTGGGTGGCTTAAACCACAGAGATTTATTTTCTCACAATTCTAGAGGCTTCCAGTCTGAACTCAAGATGTCAGCAACTGTGTCTAAATTCTAATCTCCCCTTCTTATAAGGACACCAGTTATGTTGGATGAGGGCCCACCATAATGACCTCATTCTACCTTACATACCTCTTTCAAGGCTTTCTCTCCATATATGGTCATAATCTGAGGTAGGGGGTTTAGGACCTCAATATATAAGTTTTTGCAAGGATGCAATTTGGTCCACCTCTTCTTGTGAAGAAACTCACATACAAAACTGAAAATAAAGCTCCAGTGAAACACTGAAAAGTACAAGAAGATTGGGAAAAGTCTGGGACTTCAGAATTGAATATACTGAAGTTCAGATCTCAGCGGGGTGACTCATGGCCTCGAGGCATTGGTCAAGTCACGTAAACTACTAAGTTTTACTTTCTTTCTTTTTTTCCCCCCATTTTCCTTGTTATGGTAAAATCACATAACATAACATGACATGACATAACATAACATAAAATGTATTACCTTGACCATTTGTATGCGTACAATTCTGTGGCATTAATTACGTTCATATTTTTGTACAATCACCACTATTCATTAAGCAATAACTCCCCATTTCTCCTTTCCCTAGCCCCTGGAAACTATGCACTGCTTTTTGTCTCTATAATTTTGACTACTCTAGGTATCTCTTAGAAGTGGAATCATACAGTATGTGTTTTTTTGTAACTGGTTTATTTCACTTTGCATAATGTCTTCAAGGTTCATTTCTGTGTAGTATAGATCAAAGCATCCTTCCTTTTTAAAGCTGAGCAATATTCCATTCTATGTACATACTACATTTTGCTTATCCATTTGTCTGTTCATGGACACTTGCATTGTTGCCACACATTAGCTATTGTGAATAATGCTGCTATGAACATGGTTGTACAAAATATCTCTTAAAGTCCCTGCTTTCAGTTCTTCTGGATATGTACTCAGAAGTTAGATTGCTGGATCATATGGTAAATCTATTTTTAATTTTTTGCACAACCACCATACGATTCTCCACAGCATCTGTACCATTTTATATTCCCACAAGTGGTGTACAAGTGTTCTTATTTTTTCACATCTTCACCAACACTTATTATTACTTTCTTATCTGTAAAATGTGGTAATCATTTTTAATCATAGCAGAAGCTCACATTTATAAAATGTATTAAAATGAAGATATGCGATGGTAGTCAAATTATACAAACCTACCAACCTTTAGTTTTCTGGTCTTTAAAATGGAGATAATCACATGTGTCTTGAATTACTGAATGAAGCTAACTTACATAAAACGTCTAGTCTAGAGCATCGTCATTACATTCCATAAATGAGAGCTATGATGAGGATTGAAAATGTGGATAGAAAGAGGATGATAATATGTATCTCAAAGGATTGTCATGGGATTAAATGAGCTGGCATTTGTAAAGCTTGTAGGACAGTGTCTGGAAAGTAGCAAGTGCAATGTAAGTTTCTGTTCAATAAGAACATGATTTAAAATGAAAATATTATGGGTACTTTTGTCCTAGATAGTTCTACTGTAATATCCTCCAAGCATTTGCAATCCAATATGTCAAACACCAAGCTGTGAGGGACCATTCTGTGGTGGACTCAGCACAAACTCTTGTAGACTCCATCAACATACCAGTAGAGGTAAGATAAAAACAACCTCCATGTCAAAGCTTTGCTCTAAGGATTGAGACTATTTATGTAAAGATTTTAGAGCACTGCCTGACACAGAATAAAGTTTATTTCCCTGGAAGGTTAATGGTGTTTCACTTTGACATTGTCATTCAAGGTGGAAATCTCTTTGACTTTATTTCCCTTACTTCCTCATTTCTCATGCTAAACATGTATTAACTCAGTTTTCTTCTTTTCTGTGTTCTTGATGTTCTGGCATCTGGGAAGAGACTGCACCTACCAGGGCTAGTTAGTTCTAAAAAAATAGCAAAAGATTTGCCCTGGAGCATGCCTTTCTTATGTACGCTAACCAGTCTAGAGCCCTTACTCTGAACCACCTGCTCTACCTCCTCTACCTGGCTCTTACATCCAAGTAGACACCATTATGCAGCCCTAATCATCAAGGTCCAGGTACCAGACAACTAGAGACAGACCTTATACCCCAGAGCCCACTGAGGTTATTCAAACTGGCCAGTCTTATCCCTGCTTACCCTGCCTTGCCTTGCCTTTTCTGCAGTAACAACAATAAAAGCTTGTGCCTATAATTTTCTCTTGCTCCCTCTGCCTCCTGGCGGTCTCTGGTGCTACCCATGTGGCCCTCATGGTATGGCATGCCCCTGCTTCTTAGGAACTGTAAACAACAAACTATATTTCCAGTGGTATCATCTTCTGATCTGTTATTTTCACGATGGCTGAATAATAAAACCTACATTTTAAAAAATATTCCGACAAGTTCTAGAAATTGTAAAACAATTCCAAAATGTCAGTCGCCATTTCTACTAGCATTACTATTGAACGTATCCCACGACCAGGACTAGTGCAATATACTATTAAGAAGCCTCCCAAAGTCTAGATTCACCTCTTTCAATGTATCAGCTCTTCCAATTGATTCTTCATCCTGCAGTTAAAAACATCTTTCTAAAATAGAAATACGATTACCTCATGTCATGCTAACAATTATTTCAGGCTGGGTGTTGCCTAGATAAAAAAAAATCTCCTGACCTACCCCATCACATATACATGTACAGAAACACTCCACTCCCTAAGAATGGGAAACAAATATGTGTGTCATTTCAAGGCATACATAACTAGACCGCATTACTAGGACACAGTGCTTAAGTGAATAGAGTAATACAAGTGTGTAATAGACAAATGCTCTTTCTTCTCATCATTTGAAGAGGAAACTGTTTGATAGTAAAGATGAGGAACTAAGGAAAAGGGCCCAGGGAAGTCCTCACAACTATGTTTTCTGAGATGTTAATACATGTATTTTATAGAAGTCTTCCTGGAAATTTTTCCTGTGTGTGACTGGAGAATCCCTGGTAGTGACTTGTAAAGAGGTTTCCTTTTCAGGGGAAATGAATGGGATTAACACCCAATCACTTGCCGACCTTAATCAAAGATATCTAGGTTCTGTGTTGCTCTTCCAGAAGGCAGACCATGTGTCAAATACAAATTAGAAACTGTAAGCCTCTTGGTTATCAAATCTTACTTGCTTATGTTGATGGACTTACCAATGCAGTATTATAATGAGGTAAGACCATGGTGTTTAGTTACCATTATGGGCCTATTTTTATTTTTTTTTTACTTTTATTTTCCATTCAGAAGCACATGTGGAGGATGAGCATGTTTGTTACATAGGTAAACGTGTATCATGGGGATTTGTTGTACGTAATTAATCACATCTTAAGCACAGTGGTAGAGTTTTGGCCAGAGGCACAAGAAGCCACTTGATCACCTACATCCTTCATGCAGAGCCAGTTCAACTCACAACCCATAATCAGTCAGTCAACGGAGGAATCTCATGTTTGCCAGGGACCTAGAAGAAGTGTTTACTATTATTTGGCAGGTAATGCATATGATGTAAGAAATATGCACAAAACTGACAAGTGTTAGACTAAGCTACTTGCTGTATAAACTTCCAAATTTTATTGTGACTTAACGCAATAAAAGTTTTCCTTGCTCATGAAACACTCAATGAGGCTATTTCTGATTGGAGTACCCCAGGTACGATTCCTGGTTCTAGGTTTCTTTTACTTCGTTATACTTTCATATTCAACATGTAGCCTCCAAGTTTACTGTAGAATGTGAAGAAAGTAGGGGATATTAGGTATTTAACTACCTCTGCTCAGAAGTGACATGCATTATCTCTGCTCTCATTGCATTTGACCAAAACTAGACCCAACACAATATCAAGTTGCAAGGGATCTCTATCTTTTAAGCTTCAAGGCTCTTCCCCCTACCCAAAACTTACAGACACATAGACACACACGCACACACACTTAACAGTGAGTACCACTTCACAGCACCAATCCCATACTGTGGAAGAGGAACACAAAATTCTGTTGGTCAGCAGGCTGTATTTATGCCACAACCTTAGCATCTTATAATGTCCATTGCATAGTGATTTAAAAAAAAGAAACAAGGGTGAGCAATTACAATATAGCCTAGCTCAGAGAAGAAAGGTCCCATTAACTTGACATATCTAAAAACCAAACCTCATTCCATCCAACCATCTCAAGTTTTTAAGTTTCACATTTTTTCATGTCAACACCTCTCAAATCAGAATGTTGCTCATATAATTGACAATATAGTATGATTATAATTGGCAGAGATTTTTTTTTTCTTTCTTAGTAGCAAATAAAGTAATGGTACACCTTATAATCAGTAGTAGCTTATATACAACAACAGTTTGTTACTAAGAAGAAAAAAAAAAGCTCTGTTCAGGTAAGTAAAAGAAACAAATAGTTAAACAGAGAAAAACAGATTTATTTTCTAAGGACTCCTTAGAACATGTATTAGACTAATGTTTATTTTGCATCTATGAAAGGAGATAGAGTACTCAATGTTTCCCAACTTTTTGACCCGTTCAACCCTCTTTTATCTTTGGACACCCATTACCAGTCCAGAATCCATTAATGTGCCATGGCCCAATGCTCTTGTGGTATATAGTATAGAAAATGGTGCTTTTAAGCAAAGGCATAAAGGGTATTCTCTTGGCTCCAGGTGACTTAATTCCTGTCTCTATGGTGAGGTCTTCACATTAAGTACTGCCCTGTGCATCTCATTATTTTCCTCCCAAATGCCCTGTA